CCCCAAAACCCCAAAACCCCAAAACCCCAAGATAGTACATAGTTGAATGAATTGTAGTTCTTTAAGATATTCATGATTTATTAATACTCCTTAATAATTATAAATTTGATTTTACTACTATCTATAAAAGTTGTGTATAAGTATTTTAACTTGATGATGACAAACTTTAAGTTGTTCAATACAACTAATCTTTGGAAAATACACTGCTATAGTCTGTTGAAGCACTGATATTCTTCTACAAGTAGAATAGGCGTTTTTAATTCTACACATATGGCTTGTCTTCTTAATGCTTTTAAATCTCAAAATTAGAGTCTCTCCGAAAGGGCATATTAGCTTTTCGATATCTGATTTGAGACTTATCTTATTAATTTGGATCATAAAATCCATGCTAGTAGCTTTATCTTAGAACAATACTGTCAATCTGTGGCAAACTAAATAAGGACTGTGGGGAATTAGATGATGAGTTTTTCTTCGTCAGATTGCGCTTGGAATAGGCCACATAGCCTTTTTGTGAGCATTTTGACAAATTTGAATCTTACCGTAGATTCGGAGTCATACTTGTTGCTGTTAATTTGTCTTTTTTCAGCTTGTTAAGTAATTTATCAAAGATGCCTTTCTTTTTATTTGATGCTGCTTTTATTTCAGAGTCAAGATAGATATGGTCGATTTCTTCTAAATCCCTTATTATTTTTTAACTAGCCATCAAAACATCTTAAGATATTACCGGTCCTTGGAAGATTTATGGCTGATGAGAAAATTGTGATTATTGTTACGTTTGATTGAGCATACTTCTTGGAGATTAAATATCATCCTTAAATGTATTGACACTCGGAACCCCACTTAGCTAGCTATGATTATTAATGCTTCTTCTCAACATTAATGAGATATTAAGACTTTAGTTCAAATCTTCATTTAGCTTTTGAGATTATTCCATAGGATTTAATTGCATTGAATGCCGATTAGCTTTGAAAAAAAATTCTTGAGACATTGTTTTGATCTTTGTAGGAAGATTTTTAGGAGTGGCTTTGTTAAAATCGGTTCAGCTGGTGTTTTTAGCTTGATTAAGGTAATTAAAGGCGTTTGTGATTCTCATATTGATTCTTTTAGGCACTCTGTCCTCTTCAAGAACATATATTCCTTTAGTGTCTTCGTAATCTTCAGGTTTCGACTGATGATAAATGCTCTTATATCAATTGCTTATTGTTTATGCATTATATGTCTTTGATGTGGTTTAGGTGCCAACACCATTCGAGCTTTCAGTATTAGTCGGATCATGAGCAGGCATAGCATGCTTCTTTGCATATCAGTCAAATGATTTTGAGACCATTCCTCCGTCACTTCGGTGATAGAAATTGGAATCCCTTTAAATCTTCGTTGCTTTGAGGTAGTCTAAAAAATTGTCTTTTTTAGTTTCTGAATTTCTATGACCTTTCCCTGGACTTTAATTAAAGTTGTGATGAGTTCCTCCCCAGCCTGTTATTTCATCACTAGTCTTATAAGAGTCAGGTTCTTTATTGAAGGACTCAAGGGCTTGATCAGGCTAGGATTTGAGATTTGTGGAGTAGTCGATGGAAGGTGTATCAGCTGCCATCATCATGTACTCCTGATCAAGCTGCATCCAAGTTTTTTTAATTTTAAGATCAATGTCCATATTTCTAATATACTACTTTTATCTTTTTTATACTATTAAAACTATAAAATATTTTATTTCATTCGCCCCTCTCTTCATACAACAATCTTGATACTTTGACACTTTCGTTTAATTAGGGTTTGGGGTTTTGGGGTTTTGGGG